GGGGCGGGGGAGGCAAAAATGGGCGTTTTTTTTTTTTTTGCAAAAACAGGGCGTGCAGAGGGTGTGGGAGGCCTGCAGAGTGCTCCTGGGGGCTGGGGAGGCAAAAATGGGCGTTTTTTTTTTTTTTGCAAAAACAGGGCGTGCAGAGGGTGTGGGAGGCCTGCAGAGTGCTCCTGGGGGCTGGGGAGGGCAAAAACAGCCCCATTTTGTGAAAAGGGCCCATTTTTCACTCGTTTTTGCCCTCCCCAGCCCCCATAACCACTTTCCATGCCTCCAAAACCTGTGTCCGTTTTTGTGAAAATTTGTTAAAATTGACTTAAACCAATCCCGCCTTTCCCAAATATAGTAAATTGGCACTTTAAATTGAATGTATTCATTTTGGCATACAATACTGAGGTCCAGATTTATCAACAGTGAGACCCCCCACCATGGATTTTGTATCAGAAAGAATGAGCCAGACCTCTCCCACTTCAAGTGATTTATGAACCAACTCATTTTTCAAACTTGAGGTTTGCAGAACCCTTTCACATTAAAAAGTTTGATAGATATGGCAATATATATTCTATCACTATATGAAAGTAGTATGAGATGCTAGATTAAATCTACAATTAATAGCAATTTTTAGGAATGAAGCTAAAATAGTATGTGCAATTAACCAAAGAAATGAATTTGTGTCAAAGTAGCTATTAAAGCTTTATTTCAATAAGTTTGTTCTCAACACAGAAGGGTATTTCACCTTTTATAATTTATTCAATTTATAGGAACACAGTGGCCAATAGGAAGGTCTATAAAAATTGGCAAGGAAATGCAATCAGACAACTGGGGAAATACTGTAGCCATGCTAAGCATTAAACTGTACAGCATCCCTTAAAAAGCATTGCAACTTATTTAATGCCCTTGCAAATTCCTGCCTTTTACTGCAGAATGCCTGCAATCCTAAAAATGTATGAAGTGTAGCTGAAGACGTGTCTTTTTGTAGAAATACTTGAATCAAAGTGTTGATACTTGAGGGCATGCAGCATTTTGCTTTTAAAGTCCAAAAGGTGCTTTGAGACACATTGCTCCTTAAAGCAGATACAAGCAATCTGGGGAAATAGTATAGCTGTACTAAGATATTGCAGAGTGTTATTTGAATTGTTTTTAAATTTCATCCGCCCAGTACTAGAAAATGATTTTTAGCAGTCTGGTTTTATTCCTCATATAAGAAGCTAAGTGTGTTGTAGATACAGTGTGTGTAAGACTAGGATCAGACCCAGATTTAAGTTTTCCCTTAGCTATAGAATCTCATTGAGTGATTTTGACTCTTACTCCATTTATTTTACAAGGTTAATCTAGGGATGAGAGGCAACAACTTCATACTAAATTTCATGAGAAAAAAGGATAGAAAAAAAATAAAATGTGGAAGAATACTTAAGCCTATGTTTTTTTCTATAAAAGCAGTGTTTAACTGCTTTAATAAACTGCTTGCAATTTTGATAGCAACAAAAATTCTCAGTGAATTTTGTACAAGGAACTAGATCTTATAAAACTGTCTTAAAATTTTGTTTTGGAGAACAATAATTCTGCTCTTGCCCAAATTTCAAGATATCTTATCTGACAGAGGACACGTACCTAATCATTTTGTTAAATAATTTCAAATTGGAGTCAATTTGCCATCTAAAGTTATCTTGGGCTTGTCTTTAAATACTTAACTCTGCCTGGAATAATACATAATAGCATCCTGCAGTATGAATTAACAGATCAAACCAATCTCTTTATATTACAAAATCACACAAGCAGCTTCTTTGCTACACCATTTTCAAGTCATTAGGATTGTGCCTAAACCACATAAGTCTACTGCAGGCAACTTAGTAGTAACAAGTTAATATATGCTTGCACAGCCTTTGGATACAACACTAAGGTATCTTTTTGGAGTTTGCTTTCAACATGCACTTGAAATATTAACAGAAGCAAATAACATTATAGCAAAGTTAGAAACACATTTTATTTCACGTGCCCATAAAAAGACACCGTTGAGATCATAGGATGTTGTTACATACAAGAAATTGTGTACTATAGTCTACTGTAGCAGCTTTTACAGATTTTACTAAAAGATCCAGATCCTTGCTGCATTAACCCTAGAAAAGATTTTCTTCAGCGAACTAAATTCTTATATTTCTCAATAAAGAAATCCCTTAAAATTACGTAAACAATACTTTTCCTAACACGTTTTTTGCCATTCTAATCCAATCTTTCAGGACTGATACTTCTTCGAGGGCTTCCCGATGGTGAACGACTGGAAGTAAAAAAAAAAAAAAAAAGGATGGGGGCAAAGAGAAACCAAGTCACAAGAAGTTAATTTAATAACAAGTTTGACTAGATTAATAGATTAGTGGTATAAATCAGGCCCGCTGCTACATTTAGGGCAATAATAAATTTAATCCTAATTCTTAAATTATTTGGGTTATTCTTGTGAAAAAACATGTTAGAAATCAAGTGGAAACCATGTACATTTTTAATGTACCAAAATACCAAAGCAAAATTTCTACATTTCATGCACCCCCTTTTCCCACAAGAAAGTATTGCCAAGCTTTCAAAGCATTCAAAAAGCAGCATACTTACCGTGAATTAATGGAGAATGGATATAAATGGCTCATATCAAAACTGAAAAAGCAAGACTGAAGATTAAATCAAGTAAAATGCTTTTAAATACATTTCTAATTTGGATTAAACATCTATTTATTTTGCTTGGATAAGTAACTGTCATTCAAAACATAAATTTGATTATTCTGCACTACAGCAGACTTACCCCCAAAGTTTATTCAGGGCCAGTTATAACTCTATACCTTCTCAGTCTGACTATGAGCCATTTAAGTTTATTGTCCATTAAAACAATCATGATGTGCTCAATGATTTAACATATGTAAGAACTTCCTATTTTGGAGTGAGGCTCTGAATATTAATTCAAACTAGTAAAACTTGTTTTACTATAAATAAAAATTTTATTGTTATGTATATATAACTTTTTTTTAGAACAGGGTTGTCAAACACATGGCCCGCAGGCCAGGTACGGCTCAAGCAGGCCATGCCCATCCCGGCCCACAAGGGCAAAAACAAACCCAATGTCACACAATGCAATCAGGTTTAACACCCCTGAATTAAATGAAGAACCTCACAATATAATATTCTGTATTCTCCACAGATTTATGCAGAGACCATTACTATACTTTTTTTTTAGTTAACTGTAACAATATAACTAATTCAACCTATAGATTCAACTTACCTTCTCTTTAAAGATGGTGATCGTGATTTAGAGCGGCTGTTGAAATATCAAGTAATCTTGATTAACATTTAACATATTAATTTACTTGTTTAATAAAGTCCTATTTTACAAAATGCAGGTTTGATCTGACAGTAAAAATTTTGCAACAGTTTCTATATCAAATACTTGCAACCAAGATGACACTCCACAAATACAAAGTTCATAATACAGTTGTCGTCATACTATAAATTGTGTGCATGTGCATATAATACAAAAAGACAGCCCATTTATTTTTCAAATGTAGCAAAATAAACAAAGAATGTTATTTCTAATTAAGCTAAACTTTCTAGCAGTAATTAAGATTAGCTACCCACAGCAAATTTCACATTTAATTATTGCTTTGAATGTCCACAAATGGAAATTTACCTGCTTCTGGGCCGTGAAATGGACCTTGACCGAGACCTGGATCTTGACCGAGATCTGGATTTAAAAAAAAAAAAAAAAAGGGAATATTCTACTACAGTGTTCCAGTTCCTGAATATTCACATAGATCAAAAATGTGACTATTCCAGATTACTTGGATAAATAGAAATGTCATTAAAGATTCTAGAGAGGTAGCTGTAATATACAGGCAACCATTTTCCAGCAGTTCCTTTTAGTTTAAAACAGCAAATTTTAAGACTCCAAATCTATAAAACTCTGTATATGGTGTTTTCCCCACACAAGCAGTCATTTGGCAAAAGAAAGTACCGCATTTTTCAGAATATAAGACGCACCAAAGTTTTGAAGAGGCAAATAAAAAA